AGGGCCCCTCAGAGGACGGGTGTCCACGCAGATGGCAGGTCGTGGCACGGAGGCCTGGACTGATTATTTGGGCGTGTTGGCCAGGCCGGCCCGTCAGGTGCAAGACTCATTTCGAGGTTTCACCAAGGCCGTAATACCGTGGGGGTCACAGTCAGCTCAGGCACTCCCTTGTCCACTTGCCTGGCTCAGAACAACTATGTCACGAGGTCACTTCTCCCCAGAAGACCCAGTGGTGTCATGGGGACCGATCTGTCGTACGCCAGCAGCCACCCCAAAGCTTTGTAACCTCCCCCCATACCCCATACCACTCAGGCTGCTCCTGGGGCAGGGGCGCCCACTGCGAGCCAGGAAGATGTGACGAGGTGGCATGGGCTTGGGGGAGGAGGGGAGGGGGGGCGCCCACACACACTAAGGCGGTCTGGTGACTGACAGCAAGGTTTTCAGAACGGAAAGGAGAGAGAGCCAGGCAGGGGGAAGAGGGGCTGTCAGGGCCCCAGTGGGCTCGGAGGGATGGGGCGGGGCCTGAGCTCAGACTGGCCTCAGGGAAGGGGTGGCTTCCAGGAGCTGGGGCAGAAAGCCCGTTGTCCCCACCTTCAGTCTAGGAGGGGGTGGCCCCGGGGGGCCCTGCAGAAGAGGCATGCGACCCTCCAAGTGTGGGGTGGGGGCGTGGAGGCTGGGAAGGGGCCAGCGAGTCACAAGTGCCACCGGAATGTCTACCTTGATCAGTATGCGCTCTCCGCCAGGCGGGCAGACAGGGGCAAGGTGACGCACCAGCGGTCACAAGTCACAGGCCTGGGTCCCAGGGCACAGACGCGGCTCACCAGCCCACAGGCCGCCGTGCTCCTGAGCCCCACTTCAAGATGGGGAAAGTGGCGGGTGCGTGGGCGGGAGGCTGCGGGGTGGGGCGCACACAGCCGGAGGCAGTGCTCTGCCAGAGGAGCAGAGTTTTCTCTGAGAAGGTTCTGTGCCTTGGGGGGCGGGGTGGGGAGCTGCCGGGGTCCCCAGAGCAGAGGCTCCTGGGAGCTCCGGGAAGCGTTCCCGGGCCCGACCACATGACTCTCGGGATGGGGCCTGGCCAGGTTGAGGCCGGTGTCCCCGGGCCAGGGTGGTGGGGCCTCGGCGAGTGGGGAGCCCAGCTTTGCGGAGCTGGCGGGTCTTCGCCTGAGGGGGTGGCATGTGTGATGCGGGCTGGGGTTGAGGGACCAGGCGTCAAGCCCCAAGGGATCCAAGAAGGCTGCAGCGGGACAGGGCGGCCCGAGACAGAGGACGGCCAGGGCAGTTCTGTCCACCACAGGGACAGGCCCCCTAGGCTGAGCCCGTGCCTCCCCAGGTTCCCGCGGACGGCGCGGCCCAGGGCACGGCCTCCCTGCTGCTCCAGAAGCCTCTGCTGAGCTGTGTGCCACACTGCTACGCCCGGGATGTGAGCCGGCTCTGCCACCTGTCCGCGGGGACCTACAGGATTGTGCCCTCCACCTACTTGCCAGACACAGAGGGGACCTTCACAGTGACCATAGCCACTAGAATAGACAGGTGGGGCTTCAGGGGGCTTAGTCCCCAGTGCCTGTCACGGCCCCGTGTCTCCCGCCTGCCCACACGCCCAGCTCTTAGCTGTCTGGGCAGAGGTCAGAGGCTGCCACACGTTCCCAGACGCCAGTTTGCCTGTCTCCCTGTGCGGGGAGAGCAGACGCGCTAAACACCTATCCCCACTGCAGGAAGCGGGACCCGGAGGGTGACCGAGCAGTTCTCTGCCACAGGCGCTCCATTCACAGCCGGGAAATGCTGGGGCAGCCCCTCCAGGAGGTACGGAGGGGCCCGGGGCTGTTCGTTCACCCAGGCCCTCCCAGCGGCCGCACTCGTGTCTTCCCCTGAGAGGCCCTGGGCTGAGCTTCCAAGGGGCTGGGAAGCTGCAGCAGTGCCAGTGGGTGCCGAGGACGGCGGGCCCCACCCCACCTTGCACAGCGGCCACTAAGACGTCACCGTCTGTCCTTTCGCAGGCCTCCTTCATGGCAGTGATGAAGACCTAACTGGATGACTCCGTGTCTGCTCAGGGGACGGGGCCTCGAGGGGCTCCCGGTGGCCCACGGCATCCTCACACAGTGCCACCAGCCTCGGTGCTGCGGTGGCCCGTCCGGAGCGGGCAGCTGCGTGCGCCTGCGGGTCCCGGTGGAGAGCCTGTCCTGGAGGGGAGGCGGCCCCGGGGGCAGGAAGGCAAAAGAAAGCCGCGCCTGCATCCCGTCCCTCCCGCCGGACGGCAGCTCACAGGAACCCCGTGTCGTCCTTCCGCGGCTCCGGGGAGCGGTGTGCAGCGGACGTACGAGAGTGTCTTGACACCTCTCCTTTGAGACTGTCGTTAGAGGCGTTTTTAGGATGTAACTTTATAAGTAAACTGGAGTGCTGAGCAGTTCCAGATGGATCTCGTCTCGGGTGGGTGTCACGGGGTCGTGCTGACCCTGGACACTGTGGCCTCTGGGGGACGGTTTCGGGGCAGAGGTGGGGGTGAAGGGAAGAGGTGAGTGGGCACGCAGGGCATGGCCAGGGCAGGAGCAGCGGGGAGCAGGCAGGAGGCAGACAGGCGCCTGCGGGTCCCTCTCCAGCCGGCAGGCTCTCGGTCACCTGGCGAACCAGCCAGATGGTGCCCACAGCCCCTGAGGCCTCGCGCTTCCTCGAGCAGGTGGTGCCAGACGCAGTCATGGCGCTCAGCTCGGAAGGGGCTGTCCCCGAGGGCCTCTGACCCCGGCCGTGTCTGAGGTGGCAGGCCCCCGTCCTGCTGCTCTGACTCAGCGTCCTGTCCTCGGCGTGACCCAGGCGTCTAGCTACTCGAACGTCCTGAATCAGGACAGAGGTTCTCACTTCCCGCTCTGCACGGGTGTCAGCCGCGGCTGACTTCTGCCAACTTCCCCATGATGGCTGCACCCCGCACCTTGTGCCTCATGATCTGCCGTAGTGGGGAGCCTGTATGCGTTCTCCAGGAACCCCCAGTTCCACAGGCCACACGGTGGGGCTACAGCTGGGGGAGGCCATCCAGACCCCCATGCCCCCTCCCAGCCCAGAGCTCCTTCTGCAAACGCCATCTTACCCAGGGGTCCTGCCCGGGTGATCTGGCACAGGGCGTGTCCCCTGCGTCACCCCTCCGCGGAGGGTGCTGGCGCGTGCTGGCCCGGGCGCTGTCGAGCCGCAGCCCGGACCTCGGCGCCGGCTCCACTGCCAGTCTCCCCTCTGCTCGTTTTGCTGCCACGGTTTGATCAAAATAGAGACAACCAGAAACTCTCACCCATCAAGATCCCGGCGGGGTGCTCCAATGGGATGGGGGAGCACCCTCCCCAAGGAAGGGGCTATGGTGTGGACCCTAAAGATAAGATGCCGGCTGCCCCCGTCACCTGGGCAAGGTGCTCAGGACTCTCCGAGGCAGGGGCTGGCCTCGCCAGGGCAGGGGGTCAGGGTGGCAGCTCGCACTGGCTCCTCCCAGGGGACCCTCGGGTGACTCGCCCTTTCCCTCCCAGGACCCTGCAGCGACTGATCTGGGGCTGAGTCCTGGTCACTTGCTGGGCGCTAGGGAAGGACTTGCTTGGCAGAGGGCTCTGTGGGGCTGCGCTGCGGGGCGGGCGGGCGACAGGAGAGAGAGAGAGGCAGCCTGGGGGGCAGTCGCCCCTGGGCTTCCAGGCTGCAAGGGGCTGGGGCTGGGGAAGCCACCGGCTGGGCACAGTGGGGTCTGGTCTGCGCCTCTCCTGCCACGTGACGAGACTCCCGGTGCCTTAGACACCTCGGCCTTCGCCTGTACTCACATCTGACACTGCCCAGGCCCAGTGCAGGACAGCCCAGGCTGAGCCGGGGCTGCAGACCTCGGGGTCCCGCTGACCGGGAGGGCCTGAGGCCCAGGGCAGTCCCGCTGCGTCTCAGCCCTGCACCTACTGACACGGCCCGGGGCCACGTGGAACCCACAGGCTGCAGCCAGCTGGCCACGCTGAGTGCCCGTGCTGAGCCCACGGCCACGTGCAGGGCCAGGCCCGGCGGGTCCCAGCCGCCCTGCGGACCAGCTGCTGGGGGACTGTGCGGGACCGTTCACGGTGGCCTGGCCGACCCAGACGGCAGGTCTGGGTGTGTGCAGGTGCAAACACCGCCTTTCCCAGCAGACTTTGCCCTGCTCGGGCTTCCTTCCCGTTATCGCTTCCTGTTCCCGGCACGGTGGCTTCTCAGCAGGAGCTGCGTCCTGCTTAGTCCTCGTCCTGGGTCTTCGCTCTCATCGTCCTGGGCCGCCCTCCCCCAGGCCTGGGCCAGCCTTGGGTGAGTACCGCGGCCTTGGTGTCCCGAGAGGAGGGCCTCGGGTGTGGGGGGCCTGCGTCCCGCGTGGGAGCCGGGATGGCGGGTGGGCCGGGCCGGGCCGGGTCCTCTCTGATTCCCTCGGGCTCCGCATTCATAGTCGTGTCTCCTCGGTGCCCCGTGTCTGCCTCGCTCGGTTTCGCTGGATTCCGGCCCGTCTCCCCGTGCTTCACAGATTTCAGCTCGCTTTGCTATAATTCGAAATGAACGGAAGAGTCTCTTTGCTCCTGGGGACACCTTGGGGTCTTTGGACCCCAACATGAGGCTTCGGACGTGGCTGTGCTTCATCGGGGGAGGGTCTTCTCTGGTTTTGAGGACGAGTTTGGGGGAGGGCCGGGCCCACCAGGCCCCGGGGCCCCGTCCCCTTGGGGAGGTCGAGGCGGTGGCCGAGGCTGTGGCTGCACCTGTGCGCCGTCCACTCTGTGCCAGGCCCCTGTAGCCAGTCAGGTTTCCTGGAAGTACAGGTTGTGTCTGCACAGGCAGCGCAGCCCCCATCTGGGCTAAGGCCGCGAGACCCGCTCACCCAGGGCCGAGGAGCACGGGCTGTGAGGCTGGTCCCGGGCACACGGGCACACTGCTTCCTGACGCACCCCACACGTGCCGGGGCCGCGCCTCGGCAGCCTGGGCTCCCCATCCCCTCACACGTCACCTGGAGGGTGAGGCTGCTGGACAGGGGGCCCGCGCTGGCTCGAGTCGAGCCGGGACTGCTCATCAGGCCAGTCCAGGTCACCCGCAGCTTGCTGGGGACTTGGCAGCAGTGATGACAGGATGCGTGCACACGTGTGTGTCTGGGCTCCAGCTGACGTGGGCTCACTCATCCCCTGAGCCCCCCCCGAGCAGACCAGCCAGCGCCTCCACATCACTCTCCACTGCCTTGCTCCCACGGCCCCTTGGTTCTGAAACCCCTTGGTGAGCACGAAGTGGGGTGCTGTGGACAGGGCCGAGCCACCAGGCGCCTCTGCCCTTGAGGGACCACTGGGGATGATCTGCGCACAGGTCACCTGGATGCTCCTGACAAGGTGACAGATGATGTGCGAGGTGGTCCTTGGCCACCTAGGGTCAGCCAGGTGCAGAGCAGAGGCTGGCGAGGGGCTGGGCACCCTCAGGGAACGGAAGAAGCTCTCCGTGCCTGCCGTGCACGACAGGCTCAGAACCATCGCAAGCTGAGGCTGGACAAGCAGGTAAACGGCCTCAAGGCCCCCGAGGGCTTGGGCCTTATCTCCTGGTGGCAACCCGGCAGTTTTAAGCAGGGCCTGGTGCTAGGAGATGTGACATCTCCCTCTGGCCGGGGGTGGACTGGAGGTGGGGGCCGACCAGGGGCAGCTGCAGACATCCAGGGGAGAGGGGACGGTGTCCCGGCCAGGCAGGGGGTGGCGGGCCGAGGGAAGAGGTCCAGGAGGTGCTCCCGGGGAGCAACCCCACGGCATGAGCCGCTGGTGTCCCCGGGTTTCACCTGACCGCGTACTGAGCCTGAGAACCGGTGCCTTCCACACTGGGTGTGGGCCGCCGCCGGCCCTGCTCCCGCCAGCGCCTCGCGACTGTTGTGGAGCTTTGAGCGAAGCGTTCTGCGCTTCTTAAGGACTGTTTTTCAGTGCTTATGCGTGGTACCGTAGTTTTAGTTTGATTTTTCCAGTTTGTCACCGACATATAGAAATACTTTCGTCTATTAATCTTTTATCCTATAACCTTGCTAATTCACTCATTAGCTTATGGTCAGGGGTAAATTTCTTAGGATTTTCTACACACACGATTCCGTCACCTGTGAAAGCAGGAAGTTTTACTCCTTCCTTTTCTATCTGGAAGTGTTCTCCCTGGTAAGGGTCTCCGAACCGTCTGGAATGGAAGCGGTGGGGCCACGTCCCTGCCGTGGAGCGCAGCCGGCCTCTGCCTCCACCAGGCACCCCGTGCTTCCTGTGGGTCCTCTGCCGGCGCCTCTGTCGAGTGGGGAGTGTCCTGGTCCTACCTTGCTGAGCGTTTCTGTCGTAAACTGGCGCTGGATTTTGTCAAATGACTTTTTTTTTTTTTGCTTGAGAGGATTATACAAATGTTCCCCTTCATCTGATCGATCGATGTTCTAATGTCAGCATGAACCTTACATTCCTGGGTGTTTGCTCATGCGTGTTCTTCCTTTCATATGTTGCTGGATTCAGTGAACTAATGTTTCATTAAGAATCTCTGTGGCTGTGTTCCAGCACGATATTGGCCTGCAGCCATCTCTTCTCGTGACAGCTTTGTCTGGCATTGGTCTAGGGTTGAACTTGCCTTCAGCAGTGAGTTGGGAAGTGTTCCTCCTCCTTTATTTTCTGAAAACATTTACGATTCATATTATTTTATCCTCAGATGTTTGATGGATTCACCGGTAGCATCACCTGGGTCAGGAGTCTTCTTTGTGGAAAGATTTCAAATTATAAATTCAACAACTTTAATAGATACAGGCTATTCAACTTTTCTGTTTCTCGTACAAATCTTGACAAGTTGTGACTCATAAACGCGCATTTCAGCTAAGTTGTCAAATGTATTTGCAGGAAGTCATTAATAATGTTCCTTTATTCCTCTAATGTCTAAGATTTCAAGCGACACATCCTCTTTCATTCATTTGTTTTTTTTTAGATCAGTTTAGCCAAAGGTTTATCGACTTAACTAATCTTTTCAAAGAACCAACTTTCATTTTGTTGGTTTTCCCGGTCATTTTTGGTAACATTTCTGTAATTTCCGCTTCGTATTGCCTTGCTTCTGCTTGCTGGGGTTTAATTCGTCGGTTCCCCGCTTGCTTCTCAAGGCGGCGTCTTAGGACGATGGTTTCAGGCCGTGTCTCTCCCCTAGTGGAGCCAGGAAGGGTCATCCCAGCGTGGAGGTGGCTTTATCTTACGAATGCCGGTAAGTTGCATTTCGTTATCGTCTCGTTTAGAATCTTTTCTAGTTTCCCCGTGATTACTTATTTGACCTTGAGTGAGTTGTAATTGTATAGTTCGATTTCCAAATCTTTGGGCATTCTTTAAATATCTTTTTGCTATCGATTTCTGGTTTGGTTGTGTCATAGATGAAGAACATACTCTGTACGGCTAAATCCTGTTCATTGCATTGAGACTGGACTGATGGCCTATTTTGGAGAATTTCATATGCAAACTTGAAAAATCATGTGTTCTGTTGCCATTGGACGTGCCGTTGGATAACTGTCAGTTCGGACAGGTCGCCGACGTCTGAGTCGATGACGTCCTCACTAATTCTCTCCGCGTTACTGAGAGGGGTGTCGACATGACCCGTCGTACCGTGGCTTTGTCCGTGTGTCCTCTGAGCCGACCCTCTCACCGTCCTGAGCCTCCGTCCCTGTTTGTCTCCGGTGGGAGTTTCCGTCCTGGGATCTACTTCGACGCGACTAGATCCATCGCAGCCTCCTGTGCTTAGTGTTTGCATCTTATTTCGTCTTCCATTTTTTCACTAGTTTTCATTTTTTTACTTTTAACCCATCCTAATGTTTAAAACGTTTATCACTCAGACTGCACATTGCGATTTCTTGCTTTGTAAGTCCAGTTTCGTGACCTTTGCCTTTTAACTGGTGTGCAGGCCGGTCATGTGGTGCGATCGTGGGAACGGTTGGGCTAAGTCCGCCATCTTGTTCGCTAGTCAGCTGCTGGCTTACGTACTGTGCCTCTTCGTTTTATCTTTTAACGGTTGCCGTTGGGTTTACAACATGCATATTTCACTTGGTGGTGACTAATGGGATGTAGGAGAGAGGGACAAGGAAGAGAGGGGAAATCCGAGTGTCCAGAATGACACTCAGGTATTTGGGCAACAACAGGGGGTCGTCGTCTGAGATGGGGACTCTGAAGGCAGATCGGGGCACCCAGACCCGGGTCTCTGCAGCCGAGCACCGGCCTGCACCGTGCGCTCTCCCCACAGCCCGGTCCCGCCCGGCAGCGCGGGGGGCGCCCTGCTCTGCGCCCGCGTCCTCGCTCGCTGTGGCGCGGTGCTTCCCACTTCCAGCCTCCCCTGCGTCCCCCAGTCCCCAGGTCCACGCGGTGACCCCGCCGCATCTGCGGGCCTGTCATCTGGCTCCCTGGCCTGACCCCACTTCCGCCTGCGCCGTCACACTGCGCGTAAAGGCTGCCTGGCGACTTGCATCTGCCTCAGCGCCCGCATCGGCTGCCTGGACACCAGCAGCCCCACGGGGCCCACATAGGATCTGTGCCCTCCAGGGACCCCGGTGTCGCCCGGTCCCCCGCCACAGGCGCCTCCCCCGTCTCTGCACGTCCCCCCTTGACCCTGCTTTCGGTCCTCGCACAGGCCCAAGTTCGCAGGTCGCACCCGCGGCGTCCCCGGCCAGCCGCATCCGCTCCAGCTCCCGTCACTGGCGCTTAGGTGTGGTTTCTGTTTTTGGCAAAATGGCTTCCTAAGTGACGAAGTTGTTTTATTTCCTTACGTATAATTCCACATTCATAGATTTGACCGTTTTTCACGTTCTAATTGACGTTATTCTCCTTATTGGCATTCGGATTACCCCAGCTTTGGGCAGCGGGAGCAAACCTGTGTGGACTTGCTCTGCCTCGTGCCCTGGTGCGACAGCTGCCCCAGGCTCCCCTATTGGTTTCCTGCCCCCGACCTGACCTGCGCTGCTGCTTCTCCCAGAAGCCCCGCCTCCCAGGGGCCCCGACTTCCCCTCGGGAGAAGTGGCTGGGTGTCCGGGCTGCGTGTTTTTAGGTCTCCGGGGCACAGAAGCAGGAAGTTTTCTTGGTAAGATAAGACAGTACGGTACATGCTGCTACCTGTCACTCGGTTCCGATGGACGTGGTGTTTACTTAACCCTGTCGACAGTACATCTGCGTGTTCCTCAGCCGCACCAGAGGCCTCAGCAGCGTCCGATGTCACTATTCTTTTGTTTTACCCCATAACACACACAATACTCCCCAGATAACCCCAGCAGGACCAACAGCGCGATCACTGAGAAGTTTAAGATGTTTTGTGTACTTTTAAAACCCTCAGTTTATGTAGATGTACACACAAAACTTTTAAAATTACTTGGAAAATGATGGAGCATTTTTGCCCTTAAATTGCAGAGCGAAGTCAAAATACTGGACTTTAAAATCTTTTGGAAGAGTTTGGTCGGCTGTGCTACCGACCGGTAATCCAAGTTCATGGTCTCATCTTGCTTTCAAGTTTAACAGTTCCTTTAAGATACAATTTAATGGAATTTAGTAATTATATAAATAGTTATGATTCTAAAGCCAAACCTGCAAACCAAGGTGTATTCACAGAAGTCCACTTTCCACTGCTCTGCCCCACTCCCGCCCGTTCCCTGTAGGTCACAATTGAATTGAAAACAAGCTTCATGGCTTGTGCTTCCGTTTGTAGAAACAGAACCTGCCGGCCCCACGTAAATTCGTGAGAAGTAACCACCTTGCTGCTTGGCAGTGCACCCCGCAGACGAGCATGCGGTGCTGCCGCAGACGCCCCCTTCCCACAGCCGCCCGGTGCTCCCCGGGGGCACAGGACGCCCTTCCTGGCCCCCGCGCCCTGCGGACGGGCGCCGTCCGGCCGCCGTGCCCCACGGGTCCAGCAGCGCCGTGAGGCTGGCCTTGGCGTCTTTTTCTTTCCTTTTTGTTTTCTGTTTTTAGGTCAATGTTTAATTTTCAACTTCAGTGTGTAAATAAATCCGGAAGCACCTTTTTCACCTGTCCGTAGAGTGGATTTCTAGAAGCGGGGGTACTGGGTCAAAGGCTCCGCCCTGGGACTTTGCTGGACGCTAGATGTGGACAGGCCCCCTCGCGGGGGTCGAGCCGGTTCCGTTTCGGCGGCTGAGATCCGAGGGTGATTTCCCCACAGGCTGCTGCCAGGCTGACCCGGGCCGACCGGGCCGTGCCTGCGCCATGGCCAGAACCGGCGTCACGGTGTGCTTGCCACTCCTTCCTCGAGTACGTCAGCCCTTCCTGTGCCCTCGACGAGCCATCCACATGTCCTTTTCTGTGACCTGTCTGCTCATCTTTCTGTCCGTTGGCATCGTGCCCAAGGCCCAGAGGACATGTCAGGAGGCCAGCGGTCCCGGGAGGGATGTGAGAACCGTCGGCCGCCTCACAAGGGAAGCGGGGCCTCCTTCCTCCGTGTGTCCTGGAGTGCTGGCTAACCACACTTCTTGGGTCCACCCCAGACAGACCGGCTCCAGCCAGCCGGAGCTGGAGGCCCACTGCCCTTGGCGGCGGGGGCGGGGGACCCCTCACAGAGACACGTCCTTTCGAAGTGAGTCGTGCTTTCTGATCCGAGTTCCCCTGCTGGAGGTTCACAGGTGACCGTGGAGCAGGGTGAGGTGCCGGGCGCGCTCGCGCTCTGCCGGGCCCCCCATCGGTCACTGCTCAGCCCGAGGGCCTCGCCCTGCAGGTTCTTGAGCGGGAAGGACCACCTGGAGGAAGGCGCTGTGGGGAGAGAGGCCGGGATGGCTGTCTCTGCTGGGGAACGAGGCCAAGGCCCAGGCTGGCGATGGGGACCAGCGTGTCCAGGACTGGGGCCCGGTGTGGGGCCAGCGCCTTCCAGGCAGAAAAGCCTCAGGCAGAGAAGGAGGAAGAGGCTGGGAGGAGCCAGCATGCAGCTGTCAACCACCAAGGTCATGCGCAGCATCTGCCAGGTGGGGTCCCAGGGTGCTCGGCAGCGGCAGAGCAGACAGCAGGCAGTTCTGGGGAACCGGCCCAGGAGGAGGGGAGCAGAAGCCGTCCAGGGTGAGTGAGCCACCCCAGGCAACGAGGGCTGGGGGTCAGCGTCGCCCACAGAGCCTCCTCCAGCCCCTGGCCAGCAGCTGCTGGGTCCCCTGTGCAGTGGCCATTCTGGGTGACGGCCGGGTGGGTGGGGTGCTGCAGGTAGGGCATGTCTGTCACCTTTCCCGAGGCATCTATAGGTTGAGCTGACGGGCACCGCTGGCACAGGGACAGGAGGGTCGGAGGGGGGCGCAGCTTTGAGGAAAAGGCCCGGCCCAGCCCTCCACGCGGGGGAGCCCCGGGGGGCAGCCACAGCCCCCCCCCACAGCATTTCTGCGCCCGTGGCCACAAGCGCTTATGGAGCACCTGCTGTGGCCAAGAAGCTGCTGGTTCTCGGCTCTGTCACTAGGCTCTGCCACACGCTCTGTGGGGGCCCAGCTCCATGCCAGACGGTGGATGGCCCGTCCCAGAGCAGGCGGGGCCTCAGCCGCAGGCAAGAACTAGACACGGCCGACCCCCGAACACCACGGGCTTGACCCACGCGGGTCCACTCGCACGCAGAGTCTGCAGCAAATACGCGAGTGTGAATTCTCTCATCGTTTTAATAAGCGTTTCCTCCGGCTTGTCTCGCTGTCACCACAGCGTGTGGCATGCATAACACACAAAAAGAGACAGCTGCGTCATCAGGAGGGCTTCTGGTCAACAGTCGGCTATCAGTTAATTTTGGGGGAATCAAAGTCATACGCCCCTGAGTTGTTCGAGTGTCGACCAGACATGAGAGGAGCCATTTTCATTCGTGTGAAGAGCCCGGTGGGGTGGGGGCTGGATACGTGGGGAGGGGGC